ATAAGGCTTCTGGGCTATTTCGATGCTAAGGGTAGGGTATATTACAACGAGTATTTTTGGCTTATACTAGAGGGTTAATTACTGCCATAAATTTATAGGCTCCTTCTCAAATCCTGCCTCCAGCAACATCTGCACCACTAGAACATGGCCCTTCTTGGCCGCCGAATGAAGAGCGGTCCGGCCTTTGCGTTGGTTTGAAGTCAAGTCCACCCGGGCCTTCAGAAGCACGCGGACCACCTCTGAGTGCCCATGAGCTGAAGCCACGTGGAGTGGCGTCATGCCATTGTCAAGCTGCGAGTTTTTGGGTGCCCCAGCTTCGAGCAAAAGGCTTGCAATCTCAGGCTGGCCCAGGACTGAAGCCACGTGAAGAGCTGTAGCGCCATTGCGTATCCGCAAGTTCATGTCGGCCCGAAACTGTAGCAATAAGGACACGCCCTCAACATGCCCGTTGAGTGAAGCAGAATGAAGAGGGGTCCAGTCAGGCGGGCCAGAGAAAGCATTGGTCGAAGCACTGGCTTCTAGCAGTAAACGCATGATGTCCAGGTTACCTTGCATCGCTGCCCGGGCTAGTGGCGTGTTTCCACCTGAGACTGTCAGAAGACCTTAATGTACGTCCTCACAAACAATAGGTAACTATCCTTACCAGTACCGAAACAGGACCTCAAAGGGGCCCGTTCTTTTCGGAACCCCTCCACTGAAGTCGGCGAGGTTTGGATCTTGTGGCCGCTGCAAGATCTTCTCGATTTCCAGCACCTGGCCGCTGCCAACTGCATCCAAAAGCTCTCGCCTCTCCGTTTCTGATGCCTCCGACAGGGGCAATAGGACCAACTGCGTGTCGACGGGCAGGTCGAACTTGAAACTGTCCTTCAAGTCCATGCCGTCATAAAGAAGCCTCTGCTGGAATCGCGTCAGCCCACAGATGCCTTGCAGATATCTCTTTAACGACAGGACGTCCGACAACTCCTCCAGGGGAATCGTGACCAGCCGCGCACCCGATGCTGTCCAGACGCTCACCATCTCCATGATTGGGTTCAGTGCTTGGGATTCAAGGGTCTAGGGTTTAGTGTTAGGGGTTTAGTGTGTAGGGTTTAGGGCGTAGGGCAACTCAAGCAACGCAAGCCTGATTGACAGCTCACTTTCCTTGAAGGGTCCGAGTAAGCGAGTGGTATATAGTTCGGAACGACAGTTGCTTTGTAGGGACTGCATTAGTTCTTAGATATACATATACATACATATAACTGCACATTTACATACATACATACATACATACATACATACATACATACATACATACATACATACTTACATTACATTACATTAATACATACATACATACATACATACATACATACATACATACATACATACAT